TGATAACTTTTCCAACTCTGTTTCAATGTATAAAGCAGTGTTGTTTACATATGACGGAAGACCAGTAATGATACGTAATGCTTCTCTTTGAGCCTTTTCAAGTAATTCCGATTCGTTATCAGTACATCCATCCCACAATTCACAGGCGTACTTAAACACCGGTAAAATAAAAGGGGTCTCCATTTTCAACATTCCTATTAAGAATATATTTTAACTTCCTGAATAATTTTATCTTTTTCATTACAGAATTATAAACATAATTGACATGAGCAGACCATTTCCCACCTACGTGTTTATGCGTTTCAGTAAAATTTAAAATTTCACCACCAAAGATAAGATCAAGTTGACCATTTAGATTTACAGAATTAGTTAAAAACAAAACCTCTGTTTAACCAGGGTTCCAATTGCCTCGCCACTTCTTCGCCCAGGAGTCGAGCGACAGTAATTCTTGATTTAACTCGGTTTCAAAATCAACACAAAGTGTGGAGGATTTAAAAATAGTGGTATCGTCAGCAAAAAGACGAGATGTAGAACGTAAAACTTCAGCAATATCATTTATATATATTAAAAAAAGGAAAGGGCCAAGAATCGAACCCTGCGGTACTCCTGCTTTGATAAACCAATGGACGAAAGTGAGTCAGCAATGAAAACTCTCTGGTTTCTATGACAGAGATTATTTTTAAACCATCCCAAAAGGTTTCCAGTAATTCCATAAGATTTCAATTTTGCCAATAGCCCCAAGTGCCAAACCCTATCAAAAGCTTTTTTATATGTCACAGAATATTAAACATGTATGTTCTTTTTTCTCAAGTGCCATGCAAAATATTGTGATAAATTTCAATTAATTGATAAACAGTAGAATGGTCTGGCAGACTGGTGTTCATATAAGAAAATTCCTCATAAAATAATTATGAACATGTTTAAAAATAACCCTCTCAAATACTTTGCCAACAAAAGATAATAATGATATCGGTCGGTAATTTGATGGAGAATGCCTATGACCCTTTTTGAAAAGGGGGATAACTTTTGCTGATTTCCACATAGCTGGAAAAGTACAAATATACAGCGACATATTAAACAAAAATATTAATGGTTTACAAAAAGTATGATATGTGGTTTTTTTACGTAATTCCGACGCCATCCAAGGCTTATCGTTTGGTTTCACAGTTACTTTGTTTAGAAGGAATACATGTATTTGCAAAATCTAAAAATATTTTTGTAAAACTTTCACATGCTGCATCGATTGAATCACACGTTGAAAAATCACCCTCCCAATCATGATTTGATATAAGTTGGTTAAATTTATAAAATCGGCGTGTTCTCTCAAAAAAAAGGTTTCGTATTAAGAGGTATTTCAATATAAACAAGACTATCGTCATGGTCACTTATAGTTCTGATTATTTTTATTACAGATACATCAATGCTATTTAAAAGGGCTGGTCGGGGGAAAAAATACAAAATAAATGGGTCTAAATGCGTTGTCTGGCCTTCCAAAAATTATACCACGGCAATATGATGGCCGAGTTCTGTTTGCAATGTCCAGTTTTGACCACTGAAATCTCGGGGAAGCCCCGCGTAAATTTAGCGCAGATCTATTTATAAATGTCACGTGGTTGTTTCGAAAGTGGGGCAGTAAAGATAACAACAAAGCACGTCGTCATGTGCCATGTCGGACTCACTGAACTAGCGGACAAGACAGCAATACTATACGTAAATAATTGTTTTCAAAGGTCATGTATGATGCAAGTGTAGTAGTCCTACCTACATGTTGTTGTTATATATAACGGTATTGATACCTCGTGCCTGTCCTGACTTTTGCATGCATCTTTTTCTTTCGCCGCGATGTTTACATTTGGTGTTGTTAATGACGCGCGTGCGGTAAAATTACATCACTGATCTGGGTCAATTGAGAGTTTTAGACTATCAGGTGGCGATTTAGGATTTCTTTAATATATTTATAATTTTTACTCTTAGGGAGTGAATTTCAGCAAAATTTGTATCGGTATATTTCATAAGAAGTATTTGAAACATGTGTATGCTATTTTAGCAAATATGACATTTTTTTCCCCCGACCAGCCCCTTAAACGAGTCAGATAAAAGGATCGGATCAAGAAGGCTTTGTCTACCTGGGCCAAATCTAGTTGGTTCTGAAATAACATTTGTAAAAGGGTTTGTTGAAATTATGTAAGACAAAATATCCCTTGGGGTAGTTCTGAGCATATCTACATTTAAGTCACCATTGTTAATAGATTTGGAGAAATACCTAAAGCTCGGTCTATAGATTCATGTAGGTTATTCAAGAAAGAGCCTACGGCATTTTCAGGTCTATATATTGTACAAATCGAAATACTGGACTGAGGTAGCTCGATATTGATCCATAGTACTTCATCACCGGGATTTTCTAGATCAAATAAGCGTTTTACCTTAAGACTGTCTAGACATACACAATAATCCCCCACCACAAAATTTCTATCTAACCTGAAAGATATATGAAAACCTTTTATACATAGATCATCAGAAGAAAAATGCTCGTCTGAATGAGTTTCGGTTAAGCAGATAATATCGGATACGTGAGCAACATCTTCAATATACGGAATTTTATTTCGAACACTTTAGACATTTAAATGAAAAATAGACAACTCGTTTGAACCTTGGTTTGATTCGACATCCATGTGAGTGAGTAAAAGAAAAAGTAATATTAAAGAAAACTCAATATTAAGTACTGCAGAATTCACGAACAGAACAAGGGAGTGTATGTGTTTTAAAAGCGATCTCAACGATAACCAAAACTGATTGTAAACTTTACCTGGGTTTACACTGCATAAAATAAAAATAGATTTGATTAAACATCTGCCGTAGACTTTCGAATAAAAAGTCCCGATCGCCACTCTATGACTAAAAACATTGCTACACATTCTCAAATGAGAACGAATGACAACATAGCGAAAGGCGAACGGGAACAACTACAACTTTGAAATGTGCAATCCAGCAGTTTGAAACAATGTTAAACAAGACAATCAAAACCGAAAAATAAAAAATAAAGTAACAACAGTACACACGTGCTACTCGTCATAATTTGCATATATCTGCTGATTAAAGACGTACTGTTAGAAAACTCAGCAGAGAAAATACATTATTCAAGACTAATTAACATGCTTAGAATTATCAAGTATTGGCTGTACATGTATGCATACATACATACATACATACATACATACAACATGGGGAAGGGATGATGATACGCGGTCTAACTTGGAAGTCTGACTTTGGGTTTGGGTTTTTGGGGAGGGGGGGGGG